TTATCTCTCTGCCTCATTATCCATCCTTTCTGCTTCTATAGCCATACTTAGTCAAAATAAGATCATCATCATATTACATCAACTTCAGTTTTGTCAACTAGCAAAACTCGCTGCGAGCCGACACCTTGTGTCATAAGTGACATAAAGGGCCCTATCATACACCCGGCGCAATGCGGTGCAAGGCATGGCACAAATATTGTTTGCTAGTTTCAGCTTGATGCAACAGTCTTTTTGACGTGTTGCACCACGCTGTTTAAATAGCAAATGCATTTGGGCATTTTGGTCTAAAAAAGGAGTCGTGTTAAGCCTGGTTTATACTTCTGCGTCAAGCAGGGCTGGACTGGGACAAAAAATCGGCCCTGGCATTTTGGGCCAGAGCGGCCCACTAAATTAAATCAAAATGCTATCTATCCATGCACGTCCAATATTTTTATCAACTCATATTCTATAAAACACAAAAGCCAAATATATAAAATAAATAAATAAATACAAACTTTAATCTCAATTTAATTTCTGTATACTGTCCATAAAGATATTTGTTGAGTTCTAAAAAATACACTATTCATTTATTTTTCTTTGTTCGCATAAGTCCCTTATTTATCAGGGGTTGCCGCAGTGGAATGAACTGCCAACTATTCCAGCATGTTTTATGCAGCAGATGCTTTTCCAGCCACAACCCAATATTGGAAATCACCTATACACACTCATTCACACACACTCGTACACTACAGCCAATTTAGCTTATTCAATACACTATTCACTCAGCCTATATTTCATGAATAAACATAACAAAAACTGCCTGCTAATGCAAAAAGACATAAGAATTGTTAGATAGAGACAAGATGAATTCAATATCACGTTTAACAACTATAGTGAGATGAGATCATCCAGCAGATGAACTGTCTGACATGCACTATACTCTCACCTGGGGTTTATGCTCACCCGCTAAACTACTGGCTGCAGCTCTTGGCAGAGAGTGTGTTGTCACGTGATTTGCGCTTTTAGCCGTGTACTAGAATGAACGGAGAACTTTTCAGCATCGCTAAATGAAACGCCGGTGTATTTCCCGCGATTTTTCGGCGCCTCCCTTGCGTTTCTTCTCTCTGACTCTCGACTATTTTGACAAATACACACAGACGACGCACGCTCACACGGAGTCCAAAATAGGAGTTTGTGATTGGGCCAGCCAAATGTCAATACCGAAAAGAGCCAATGGGCTGCAGAGTGTCACATGGGCGGGCCCGTTCTGTCTGTCCGGGAAAAAAAAGCATCTACTTTCAGAGAGTCACAGATCACAGCAGTGTCAATTAATAAGGCAGAAAAAAAAAACATAGGCTGCTAAGCCTTTTATGGGCCGATCAGATCATAAGACGATGATCAGCCCGGCCCAAAAAGTACGTCGTTAGCAGTTTTATTTATTTTATGCATATTTATTTTTGTTTTATTAAAGACAAGCTTAGATTTGCCCACCTGTCAGGTTTTGACCATATGGGGCAGAGCATGTGTATTCGGATATAACTCAGTTTTTTGACCACACTTCGTTATTGTTGTTCTTTTATTCGCTTGCTGGAAAATAGAACTGAATTTAGAAATAGTTTTGAAACAAATTTTTGCGCTTAAACTAAATTAATTATTTATAGACTAATGGATATCTGTGCATACAACACATTTTCTTGTCCACGGAAGAGAGTGAAAGTGAAAGTAAATAATGAGGAGGCTCATTCTCTCATGCTTGCTCTGTAGATGCTCTGTTTAACTGTATTCTCTCTAGTGAAGTGTTCAGTTTTTCCACTTACAAAGTTGGTCATGTAAATAGCAAATGCGCTATGGTGCGATGCAACTGACTCTTAAAGGGAATGGGAGATGAGACTCTTTTATTCTTCGAGTGGTTTATTCTCTAAACACACCTTTAACTCATTAAGAGAATAAGCTCAACCCTGTTAGACCATGCGCCGTGGTGCAAAGTGGATTTCCCCTTCGGATGGGGAACTTCAATGCTATAAGTGGATTTTAATCCACGAATGGGGATTTCGTTTCAAAAAGCCAATCGTCTGAAAGAGTATATAACAGGCCAATGAAATGCCAAATGAGTTGGCAGCGTAAGCTTGTGCACGTGTGCCTTATTGCCAATTAACTCCGCATATAAGCACAGGAAAGCAAAGAAACGCCATCCTTTTTGATTCAGAGACTTTTACAGCCTTCTGAGAGAGTCGATGAGGGTTCGCACTGCAGCAGGCACTCGGGCAGATCTGAGGGATTCAGCGAGAGATAATCCGTTGCCTCCGGGCCCACGACCTCCCGCTCCTCCAAGCGCTCCATCCAAGTTTCGGCGGGGGAAGCGATCCGTCTAACCAGATGGTAGCCCTTACGCTTGATGAAACCGGAGACCAGACGTCCACCCCGGCATCGGAGGGTGGGCTTTCATTGTCCGACGATGATTCAGACCTGCTCGCCTACAGGGTCATGAAACCCCCTATTTCAGCAGGGTGTTTTCACACCTCTAGTTTGGAAAATGTCAGGACAGTGGGTATGTCTAGCTCTGTTTAGGTGGAAGTGTCAGGGAAGGGAAAAGGGGAAGGATTTGAATAAGAATGGGAGTTTCCTTTTGGGCACGTGCTGATTTTCAGTGAGGCAAAACAAACACAAATGCAGGGAGAAAGACAGTGACTGTGTTTAATGAAGGTGGAATGCTTGATATCGCACGTCGTATAAGAGAAAAAACCTCTGCATTTCTCTGTAACTCAGATGCACTCGGTAGGTCAGAAAGCCGTGTGTGTGTAGACAATCCTGTCACAAAATGAAAATTAAACACAACGGTCGCAACAGTTTGCTTGCAGTGTTCACGTTTACACTCGGAGAGCAGCATTTACAGCAGATCTTTCAGTCCATAATATTGTAGTGATATTAATGTAAACTAAGTAACTTAGAAATCATTTTGACTAATGTCTTTCTTTAAACACTGAAAGAGTACTGCTGACCATACGAACTATAACTTTGCCATGTGAATAAACAAAGAAAGGGCATTGATCGCACACTCTTACCAAATCTGTAGAGACAGAACAATCAACACCAACTAGAGCTGCGTCTTTTTTTAAAGGAGACGAGCAGCAAATCCGGATTTCACAATTTTCAGATGCGAAAAGCTCTTGAGTAAAAAATGTTTCGTACAAACGTATTTCCGCCGCTTGTTGCATGCACTGATCCACACGTGAATCCGTTGTGCTCTCATAGCTGGAAAATGAAAATAAAACCTTCGTCGCAGCACATTATAAAAGCAACACTGACGACCTGTATCTCCAAACAGTTCTTCTTCTTTTCCCACTTCTTTTGGCAACACAACGTGTCATCTCTCTGCCGTCTGAACACTTTTTCAGGTACAAACAGTCTTCAAAGCTAGCATGCATATTATTGAAGTTGCACCGCATGCACAAGAGAGCGCGCTGATTGGTTTGAACCAAGTCTTACTCATGAATGAATGCAGCTCACTCAGAGACGTAATACGGTACTCCCAGGTACAGACGTCCAGTCTACATGCTGGAATAAACGCTAAGTGAAACAAACTTGTGCATGCAAAAGATTAATACACTTGCATAAAGTAAAACATATCTCAAATGGAAGACATTGGATTTTTGCCGGGGCACGTTTTTTTGTTTTGTTTTGGACCGTCTCCCCATGCCGCACCCCCGGCAAAATGCAATCGCCCATATTGCCCATGCCTAAAACCGCCACTGATACACATTATCAATATACAATACCCATTAATTACGTATGCTTAAAGGTACCATGAAGAGCTTTTAAATGTGCATTTTTGTTTGATGTTTGATGCAGTTTCAACGGAAAGATGAAGACAGGGAGGGACATAGAGTAGCTCCTCCCCTTTAAAAACAGCCAATAGCATTTAGCTTTTCTCACAGCTCTGCCAGTGAGAGTGGTTGAGATCAAGTATCGAATAAAAAGTAAATGCAAGAAGCGTCTTAAAGGGGGCAGGGCATGTCAGATATAGAGCATTTGTTTGGTCAGAAGATCTGATGAGAAACTGAAATATGAGGTGACATCAAAAAAATGTTGATCCTTATTGGAGAAAGCGACAAACTGTAAGCTTTGGATATTCTTAAAGCAAATTTTGTCACTTTTTTGCAGCACACTAGCTTATAGGTGTCCCTAAGACTAACACTATATCCTAATTTCACAGGGGCTGTTAACAAAACGAACTTTAAGTATGCTTTTCATAAGGGGATTCATGAAATTTATTTAAAATTGAATGTAATTAAATTTAGAAATTTAATTAAACTTATTGAAAAAGCTTAAAACCTTAAATGTTGCTGTTAAAATTATTTTCTTATATTGTACCTGCTATTTGCCTTACCATAAAATGCATGTTTTGTTTTTGTTACGGCTTTCGCAGGTTTCTGCGGTGCAAAGTTCAAGCTTGGTGAATTCTTACCTACAAAATCGCATCACTTGACTGCATGAGACCAATAGAGGATCAAAATATGACCTCTCTGGACAGGAATTTAAAACATGGAGCAATCGCTTGATTTTTTAAATGTCTAATAAGCTTGTTTAATCCCGCCCCTTTTGCCGTGCGACAGAATTTCACACACACACAAACTCTAGTGTGACTGTAGCTTAAGTCTTATTTTAGTATGCTTTGTTAATTGTTGGGTTGTTTAGTCTTAGGTTAGTGTTGTATATTTGTTGGAGAACATGAGCTTTGATTCTTTATTCATTCTTGCTTAGTTGTGACACATGATTTTGTTTGATTTGTTTTGTTTGTAATAAATTTACTAGTTTGGACAACTTTCATGTGTACTCTTTGTGTTGCATTCCCTTGATAGATTAATTCTTTTGTGTTTAAAAAAAGAGTTTGTAACAGTTTTTTTTTAAATACAGTGTATGTGTTTTGATAGAGATGAGCAATGAAATAAGTAAAAATTGAATAAAAATCAGTGGAATATAAATGAAAAAGAGTGAGTGCCTGATAAATTGTCTTACCCTACATGGTGACCTTCCTGTCTCATTTACAAATCCAGCACATATCAGGTTGTCTGTAACTGTTTGTTCATACTTAGTACTGCATTCAATGTTGTTCACAATAGGGGCCTCCACCTCCTTCAGCACATCAGAAAGCATTACATCTGTCACACAAAATAAAAACACAGATTTGTTAATATCTCATAAAATATCTATTTGCTCAAACTGTAATTTTGAAGCAATGCTTCTCACAAATGGAATTAATCGAGCCCCAGCCAGTGACCCAACTCTCTGTCCCGTCAACAAACACACTACCAGCAGCAGCCAGACACACTGGCCTAATGTAATCAGTGAAAGTCACGGAGGAAGAGAGCTGGACAAGTGCTATACTGTTGGTGAAACTGTTATCTTTAGGATGATTGATGACTTGAATCACTGTCCTGGGTATCTCATGTGGGTTTGAGCCATTTCTGGTCTGACGTCCCAAGTAGATCACAACATCAGACACATTATTGCTGTAAAACAAATTAGATTTAATTCCACTGTAATGAATACACAGATATTCACTATTATACTTGGACACTTGAATATTTAAAAAAAAAATGATAATATTAAACTTGGTATTTTCAAACCTCTGAAAGCAGCTAGCAGCTGTCAAAACCCATCTTTCACTGATTAGTGACCCGCTGCAGAATAATCGTCCTGTTGACTTGACGTTAATGCTGGCCTGCCAGGGCCAAGACCCTTCTGTTGCATTCAGTCCACCAACAATCTTGGTGTTGAGAGGCGCTCGACCACAGACTGATGAGAGAAAAGAGGATTTGACTATTGTCTGTTTTCAGCACATTTACAGCTAAACACTTCGACTGAAATGACATTAGATAATAACTACTTACCATCTGACTGACCCAGGCAGCCTGTTAGGAGAGACATTTTTTTGGTTGTTATTAATTTCTTGCATTGTCAGCATAATCAAAATTGGATAACCGATGAAAGTAAGACCCAAAGATTGGACAGCACAGGCTGGTAGACATTGCTGATTATGTGGTTCAGTTTAGTCCTGCATGTCAACTTTGCTTCTGAATGTTCGTGTGTTTACCTGTAACCTGTGAACTTAATATATTTACTTTAGAGTTCGAGATAATCACACTATTATTTCCAGAATAAGTGACATTGGCTCTTTAATTAAGCAAAACATGAGAAATAGTACAGTTAGTTATCTGGGGAAATACTGTCAATAAATTTAAAATGTCAAGACAAAATGTGAATTATTCAACAATCCTAAAAGTTATTTTGATGAAGTAATTATCAAATAGAAACAAGTCGCATGTCATTGCATACAAAGCGATTTCTTTGCTTACAAAGCGATCTCTGGCTGCGCCCCTTCTTATCTGCTCTCACTTCTGCAGATTTATAGGCCCTCCAGAAACTTGCGTTCTGTGAATGAACGTTGCCTCGTGGTTCCATCCCAAAGAGGGAAGAAATCACTTTACCGAACTCTCGCATTCAATCTGTCCAGTTGGTGGAATGAACTCCCTAACTGCATCAGAACGGCAGAGTCACTCGCTGTCTTCAAAAAGCGACTAAAAATTCAACTATTTAGTCTCCACTTTCCTTACTAATATGAAATTCCCTCTCTGACTCCTCCTCTAACTACAAAAAAGAAAAATAATAATAATAATAATGTTTTGCTTCTTGCACTCTTTACACACTTAAAACTTGCCTGCAGCATGTACTTATTCATTGTTGTGCTTATAGTTGTGTAAATTGCTTCCTTGTCCTCATTTGTAAGTCACTTTGGATAAAAGCGTCTGCTAAATGACTAAATGTAAATGTAAATGTCATATAATGGAAAATGATGTCATAATTGAAATTAAAAGGTCCTAAAAAAGGTTTTGAAATGTTTCAATTCACTAGAGTTTAAGGTCTTAAAACAGTCCTGAATCTGAAATTATAGGCATGTTTTCCCCCAAATACAAATATAAACCATTTCTTAAGAAACATTTGTTTCATATGTAGTTGAAGTTTATGCTTAAAACGTAAAAAAAAAAAAAATCTGGCAGCGCAAGATGAAACTGACTTTTGTAATTAATTCTGTTGAAATTAAATATATATATAGGGTTGCATATAGTTTACACCAGTTCAGATAGAAGTGTTACTTGCATTCTTTGCATGATGTGAAGAAGCTCCCTCTGTTTAGTACGGTGGCTGGCTGGTTGTTCTTTGTTCCACAAAAGGCTTGGAGTGGGGTGGAGTTGGTTGTTTCAAGTTTGAAGTAGTACAGTGCGTGTCATGAATACTACTGGTTTGCGGCGCACAATACTTAACTAACGTTAGACTCTTGATGGAAAAGAAAGAAAAAAAGGTATTAGATATGGGAATGTCCGAGCTGTGCGATTAACCCATTTCGTCTGGGTCCCCACCTGCTCCCTGGAGTCCTCTGGGTTCAAGCTTTTCTCTGGGCTGTGGTTTCTGGGTCTCTGGGGTTTCCTGTTTCTGGGATTTCTGCTTTCTTGAAGGTTTCTCTGCTTAGGTCTGTTTCTTTCTCAGGTCTTTGGGGTCTTAGGTTAGATTCCCATCTCTGGGGTCTGTTTTTTTTAGATCCTTGGGCGCCTTTGTCAGAGTTCTGCCACTCTGGTCTTGTAAATTCTTGTTTTGGTGGCAGAGTCTGGACACTAGCTCTGTCTAGTCCTGTCCTGTTGTGCTCAGCTCGAGTTTTCTTGGGTCGAGCACTTGTTTTGTCATTGTGTGTGTCTCGGAATGAGTGGCATTTGTGAACGTGCATGGACCGTGCACGTCCCCGCTTGAGCGTGTGCATGAGGTCTTTGAATGTTTGCAAGTGCGCGCTCCCGTCCGGGTGTTCACGTTCGTCTGTCTGCAGTGTGGTGTTTCATTCCCAGCGGCTCTGTCCTGTTGGTTTCGGTTTTGGTTGGCGCTGGGATGAAACATGCATGCTGCGTGTGTGAGTGCACGGTGAGTGTTTTCATTCATCGTGTACTCGTGTCTTGCGTTCAGTCTTCTGTTGGTGTTGTGTTTAGCACGTGGTGTATGTTTACATGCACCGCGTGCTTGTGTTGTCATGAACGCACGGTTAAGGAGTTATCTCATTGGCTGCCTGTTCTAGTCTTGTTTTAGGTGAGCGCATAGCTTGTGTTGTCTCTTTGTGCCATGTGCTCTCCCGTCTATTGTCTAGTCCCACCCTGCTTGTTAACCCATTACTAGTTTATTAGATTCACATGTTTAACACCTGTTTGTTCACCAGTGTATTAATTTAATTCTGCTTTATATTCTCCTCATGTCTGCTGTCCTGTGCCAGTTCGTCGTCTAAACACCCCCTGTTTTCCTGCTGTAGTCTTGTCTCGCCAGCCCAGCCAAGTTTGTTTGTCTGTTTGAGTTATAGTTATGTTTTTCCCCCTCGGGGTGGTTTTTGATGTTCTTTTTTGTTTTATTTTAATTAATAATAAATCCTCCTGTGTTTGCATTTGAGTCCTCGTTCCCTCATCCTTCCCGAACCGTGACAGCCTCAGGAACAAACTTTTTTAAGGATGGTTTGTGTCCACCCTCCAGGGCCAAGTTGACCAATCAGAAAATAACTTTCCTGAGACATGTTTTTATAGTCCTTTGTTCAGAAATATAGCGATTTACATAGGTATTTTGATGGAAACTGAGGCAGAAATGTTCAAGTTTCTTAAAATGTTAATATGTTGCACGTGTATTAACATAAAATGTAAACAATTGTTCAGTTAACCAAATTAGCTTCAAAAGGACTTTAAACATGATCTACCATGAGCTAGTTTAGCCGTGGTAGAAGTAAACATTGATTGCAGAAGTATTAAAACCACAATATTAATACAAGAGCAAGGGGAAACGTTTCAAAACACCTGATTACACATAAAGAGAGAATAAAGGTTTACATTAAAACATCAGTCTTAAGCAAGGAGCTTATAGAAGTTTTAACCATGTCTCTGTCCAGTGCTGTGAGCACATTACTTTGTGGCGTAAATACCTTGGAATCAGTTACAACTGACCATTCAGTCTTTTCCTGGGCAGACGTTGGTTCTGTGTTGGCTGACGCATTTGTTGAATCAATGCAAAATAATTAGGTGTCTGATCGGCCATATTAGTTACACTGTTTACTTATTTATTAATCTTAAAATGACTTAGACCCAAAAAATAACAAAACATTTCATGCAAAATGTTGCAATATTATTTTCCTTCTGTCTGCTCACTCCCTGGCTGAATCTGATGTGTTACCCCTGCATCAGAGCATGTGCTACCTGACATGTAACTTGTGGAAAGAGAAAAAACATTTTGAAACATGCAAATCGGCAGAAATATTGGCAAAATTTATTCATTAATGAATTTAAGATTTTTGTTTTTAAGTGATATTGCACTTTTATGACCTACGTATGTTTGCGTGAGTCAAATGTAAATTCATGAGTTCACACTTAGATATTGCTTGATGCTATTAGCAGATTTGGCATTGCTGTCCCGGGAGAGAACGCTGAGCTCGGAGATAATTGAGCCCAGGGCTCCCACCTGATCAATAAGTATATAAGGGATCAGTTAGGTCTTGAGGGCTCCCCCTGGCAAAGGAAAGTAAAAAAGAGATGGGGTAGAAGGGTGGATTCTTCCAAAATGAAGATAAGGCAGTATAGGGTCAATTTGGTCTATTTATTGTAAACTTGAATCAATCTGATTGGATTATTGCGGATTATGGATAATAGGCCAGCCGCGATTTATCATATACATGCTACCCCTGGGAGACATTATTAGAAGACATGGGATCAGCTTTCGCTGCTATGCAGATGATACTCAGTTGTATATTTCAACTAAACCTGATGAGACGTCTGAACTGTCTAAGTTAACCAAGTGTATTAAAGATGTTAAACACTGAATGACAAACCGTTTTCTTCTCTTACACTCTCTAAAAAAGACAAAACTGAATTATTACTTATTGGGCCTAAATCCTGTACACAGCAGATCTCACAACTCGACCTAAAATTAGAGGATACAAAGTTAGCATTAGCTCTACTATAAAAGATCTGGATGTTATATGAGACAGCAATTTAAATTTTGAAAATCATCCCATGTCACAAAAACTACCTCCTTTCATCTGATATAAATATCGCTAAGTTTCAAAGTATGCTATTCATCTCAGATGCAGAAAAGCTAGTCCATACTTTTAGGACTTCTAGGCTAGATTACTGTAATGCTCTGTTCACTGGTTACCCAGCATCCTCTATTAATATACTTTAGTTAGTGGAAAATGCAGCTGCCAGAGTTCTTACCAGGTCTATAGTATATGATCATATAATCCCAGTTTGATCCTCCTTTCACTGGCTGCCTGTTAAGTTTCATATTGAATTTAAAATATTACTTCTTACCCATAAAGCTTTATATAATCTAGCTCCTGTTTATCTAACCAACCTCCTGTCTCACTTCAATCCAACCGCTCTTTAAGATCATAAAACTCAGGGCCAGGAACATCGATTTTATTTTCCATGACATTGGTTTCAATGTAGCGTGTGACCTTGTCAGCTTGCTGTACATTGTCGTTTAGCGCTGTACTGTAATACGCAGTGTATGAGCAACTGCTGAAATACCTTGGTAGTCAAAATTCTCTTCTTCACTTCTCCGTTATCATTTGTTTCACCATTACATTTTATTTTAATGTTGTAACAAACGAATAGATTACTTCCTTGTGCTAATTCAAATGCATGACATGACTGTTAATTTACTGCACAGGCCCTATCTAAAATTATAGAAATTAAGCCCAAACCCACCTGAATCCCTTGGGTCCCGATGAGTCCCGAAAGATCCCGTCGGGTTCGGGCAAAGATCTTCAGCTCTATGTTGCGTCACACCATAGCGCATACGATATTTACATGGTGGACTTTGTAAGTGAAAAAACTGAATGCTTCACTAGTGAG